GAAGTTGTTTGAAAAAAGAAAAGATTAAAAAAAAAAAGAAAAAGAAAAACGAAAAAAAAAGGGAGAGAATGTGATCAGGCAGGAGACTAGAACAAAGCCATACAGTAGTGATTTAGGGTATATTTTGATCTGCTAGAAGAAACTGTATCTCAAAATTTTAAAGAGAGAACAACTTATACATATATATATGCCAAAAATAAGGGTTACTACTATGAAGGGATAAAATATGACTCTAAAAATGAAAAATAAAAAATGTTTTTTTTAAAAAAAGGGATCGATAAGACGTTAGTTGAAAAAGGGAAAAAGAAAAATTTAAAAAAACAGTTAAAAAATTAACTTTGAAAAACTAATAATTATGGTAAAAAAAAGTCATGAATTCTATGTGCAGTATTCCCCTAGCGCTGGAGTCCTCCTGTTCTCCTTGATCGGTAAACTTGGTCTTGGCTTGGTGGCTGTTCGTGCTGATCTTCTGGGGGAGGGGCCTGTTGCCTTGGTTCCCAAATGTCTTTGTCGGAGGTGGAATTGCCCTGCCCTTGTCGGTCTGGGCTAAGCAAACTGCTCGGGTTTGCTCTCAGGAGCTTTTGTTCCCTGCAAGCTCTGGTACAGCTTTGGAGGACCAGGGTGAAAATGGTGGCCTCCCAATCTCCACTTGGAAGAGCTGAGAACTCGGGGCCCCGCTCCTCAGTGCGCCCCCAGAGAAAAGCAGTCACTCCCATCTCCCTGGTCTCCGGCCACAGTCCGTGCTCACCCGGCCTGTGACCAAGTGTTTCTATCTCTGGCACCCGACCCTGTGTGGAGTCTCCAAACAGAGCAGATCCCTGCGGTGCGCTTCTGTGCCGCTCCTCCTGGGGGAGGGAGGGGAGTCTCCCCGGATCTGCTGCTTGTTGGGTCCCCGCTGGAGGAGCAGTGGCCCGACTGGGCCGCGGATCACAGTTTATGGCCACCCCAAGCTGAGAGACCGTGCCTCGGCTCCATCTCTGCAGCCGGCTTTCCCGCTCCAATACCTGGGAGCTCTGCTGCATTCAGGCACCCCCAGTCTTTCTGTGACCCCGAGGGTCCCGAGACCACACTGTCCCGGGAGGATTCCACCCCCCACTTAGCCACTGGAGCGACGTCCCTCAGCGGAGCCGACTTCTAAAAGTTCCGATTTTGTGCTCCGCGGCTCTAGCACTTGCCAGAAGCGGCCGATGGAGGCCCCCTCCCTGCCGTCTATCCTCCCGAATATCGCCTCAGATTCACTTCTCCGCACGTCCTTCCTTCCAGTAAGTGGTCGCTTCTCTGTTCAGATAGTTGTTGCTACTCTCTTCTTCGGTCTCCTGTTGAGTTCGTATGTGTTCAGAATGGTTTGATCCCTATTCAGCTGAATTCCTGAGACCAGACGAAATCCAGGTCTCCTACTCCTCCACCATCGTGCTCCGCCCCCGACACTATTTCAAATCTGTTGCATTTTTATACACTAATAATGAACTATCAGAAAAATAAATTTAAAAAACAATCATGTTTACAACTGCATCCAAAAACCCAAAATAGGGGTGCCTGGGTGGCTCAGTCGTTAAGTGTCTGCCTTCGGCTCAGGTCATGATCCCAGGGTCCTGGGTTCGAGCCCCACATCGGGGCTCCCTGCTAGGCGGGAAGCCTGTTTCTCCCTCTCCCACTCCCTCTGCTCGTGTTCCCTCTCTCGCTGTGTCTCTCTCTGTCAAATAAATAAAATCTAAAAAAAAAAACAAAAGAAAACCCAAAATATTTAGAGATCAATTTAACCAAGGAGGTGAAAGCCTATATACTGAAAAGTATAAGTTAAAGAAAGAAACTGAAGACAACACAAATAAATGGAAAGACATTCCATGCTCATGGATTAGAAGAACTAATAGTGTTAAAATGTCTATACTACCCAAAGCCATCTCCAGATTCAATGCAATTCCTATCAAATTTCCAATGACATTTTTCACAGACATAAGGCAAAGAATCCTTAAAATTTGTATGGAACCACAAAAGACTCTGAATAACCAAAGCAATCTTAAGACAGAACAAAGCTGGAGGCATCAGGCTCCCTGGTTTCAAACTCTATTACAAAGCTATAGTGATCACTGGCATACTGGCATACAAAAGACACAGATCACCAGCACTGAAGAGAGAGCCCAGAAGGAAACCCACACCTCTATGGTCCAGTACCTTATGAGCAAGGAGCCAAGAATAAACAAGGGGGAAAGAACAGTCTCTTTAGTAAACGGTTCTCAGAAAACTGGACAGTCACATGCAAAAGAATGAAACTGTACCACTATCTTACACTATAGACAAAAATTAACTCAAAATGGATTGAAGACTTGAATGTAAGACCTGAAACCATAAAACTCTTAGCAGAAAAATCAGGGGAAAAGCTGCTTGACATAGGTCCTGGCAGGGATTTTTTGGATCACACTCCAAAAGCAAAGGCAACAAAATCAAAAATAAATAAGTGAAACTAATCAAACTAAAAAGCTCCTGCCCAGCAAAGAAAATCACCAACAAAATAAATAGGCAACCTACCACCTGGGAGAAAAGATTTGCAGATCACAGATCTGATAAAAGGTTAATATCCAAAATATATAAAGAACTCATACAACTCAATAACAACAAAAAACAATGTGATCAAAAAGTGGAAGGATTATCCAAATGGACATTACCCAGAGAAGACACACAGAGAGACAACAGGTATGTGAAAAGATGCTCAACATCATTACTCATCAGGGAAATGACAAAAAAAAAAAAAAAAAAAAAAAAAAAAAACTCAACAAAAAACAAAAAACATCAATGGGATATCACCTCACACTGGTTAGAAGGGTTAGTATCAAAAAGGCGAGAAATAACAAACATTAGCAAGGAGGTGGAAGGAAGGGAACCCTGGTGCACTGTTGGTGGGAACAGTAAGTAGGTGCAACCACTGTAGAAAACAGTATGGAGGCTCCTCAAAAAATTAAAAGTAGAACGACCCTACAATCCAGCAATTTCTCTTCTGGTCATTTATCCAAAAAAACCAAAAACACCTATTTGAAAAGATATATGAACCCCCATGTTCATTGCAGTATTATTTATAATAGCTAAGATAGGAAGACAACATATGTGTCATGGAGGGATGAATCGATAAAGAAGATGTGGTGCAGGGCGCCTGGGTGGCTCAGTTGGTTAAGCGACTGCCTTCGGCTCAGGTCATGATCCTGGAGTCCCGGGATCGAGTCCCACATCGGGCTCCCTGCTCAGCAGAGAGTCTGCTTCTCCCTCTGACCCTCGCCCCTCTCATGCTCTCTATCTCATTCTCTCTCTCAAATAAATAAATAAAATCTTAAAAAAAAAAGATGTGGTATATGTATATAAAGTGAAATACTATTCAGCCATAATAAAGAACGAAATCTTTCTGTTTGCAACAACATGGATGGACCCCGAGGGCATGATGCTAAGTGAAAGAAGTCAAAGACAAATGTATGACATCACTTTTACACAGAATCTAAAAAACCAAAAAACTGAGCTTAAAGATATAGCCAACAGACTGGTGATTGACGGGCAGGGGGATGGGTGTGAAATGGGTGACAGAGGTCAAAAGGTACAAACTTACAGGTATAAAATAAGTAAGTCACAGGATGTAACGTACAACATGGTGACTATAGTTAATAACACTGTATTGCAAACTTAGAATTTGCTAAGAGAGTACTCTTAAAAGTTAAAAGAAAAAAGTTTTGTAAAACAAGACAAAACTGGATTTAAACAGATAAGCCATACACCATTACTCAGGGGACTCAGAAAGTACAGAGAACTGCAAAAATCTGCGCGGGAGGCTGCCCTCATATTCCTCGCAGAGGCTAAAGGAGAGCTTTGTACACTGGTGAGCGCATGCACAGAACAGCATGTAAAGTGCTGGGCTCCTCTCTACTCAGAGCAGTGGGCACTGCATCACACTTAGGGGTACAGGAAGAAGCAGGGGGTTCCTGGGGGATCCTGAAGAAGTGGAGGAAGAATAACAATGCAGGGTGTACAGAAAGTGCCTTACGGGTTTTCCAAATCCCTGGGCACGTACCATCTCATAGGTGTCTTTTGAGATCCTACAAAAAGTTGCTGCAGCCAACTTCTTTAATTCAGTGGTAACCTCTGAGTCATCACTGTCTCTTGACCCTAATTCTGGGGGAGAGGAGCACATAAAATTGGTCTAATTTCTCTCAGTTGGGATGGTCCTTCAGGGGTTGATCGGAATCACTAACAAACGCTGTTACTTACTGCGCCTTTAAAGGACTGCAAATGAATAAAGACAATAGTAACAAAAATAGGTAACATTTATTCCTCTGTTCTATTCTAAGCTGTACGGTGCAGAGTCAAGCATGGAGGCATGGGGGTCTGAGATAAGCCCCAATCATGGAGAGCTTTGAAGCACAGGTTTTGGAGCGGCAAAGACAAGGGCTTGAAATCTGGTTCCAAACATTATCTGTGTCTCTAAGACTCAGAGACCTATCAGGATCCTAGCTGACTGAGACGCTCAAACTGATGGTGTAGAATGCTTAAGCCAGTGGCAGGCACACAGCAGCTCCTCAATTAACTCACGATGATAATCATGAGGATGACAATCACGTTGGTGTTCCTTCCCTGGCGCCAGCAATAACAATAACCAATGCTGGCATAATATTAATCCCAAACGCTGGTACTGTGCTCACCCCACGCCAGGAACCGTGGGTTACATTTCCTTTGGCAGTCGGTTACATTAACTAATTCACTAAATCCTCAAAACAAGCCTACAGAGGTACTGTTTCCAGGTCCACCTCTCAGATGAGAAAACCGAGGCACCGAGGTTACATACCTTACCCAAGGCCACGCAGCTGGAAGTGCAATAAAAGGAACGACCACCTTTACTAAGATGCAGTCTGTAATAAGCTCCTTACCTCCCTTAAATACGCACAATAACCCTAAGGGTTTGCGGTTCCGCCCACTTTACAGATGCCCAGACTGAGGCTCGGTCCCAGGGCCAAGCCCGCACTCACCCAGCCTCCCGGATGCGACGAAGCACGACTCCGCAGTCCGCCTGGGGCTCGCCCTCCGGGCCCCGGGCCGGTGCCTCCCTCCCCCGTGGACGCCGCGCGGCAGAGCACCTTCTCCTCCGCGGACCCACAGCCTGCCAGGGTTCCGACGCCGCTGCCATGACCCTCTGACGTCACCGGCGCGCCGCCTGACGTCATCACCACGCGCCAGCGCTCGGAGAACTGTAGGGGGCGATAGGCGCTGGCGGCGCGTGATCCTGGGGCCTCATCGCCGCGCGCGTAGGTACCGGGAGGGATCCGCTGGCGCCCCGCTGCCGCCCACACTGTGGGGTCCGAGCCCGGAGCGCTGGGCTCCCGGGCTATTCCGGCGGGTGGGCGGCGCGGGGGACACTGAGCGCCGGGACCGTGGCCGAGAGCGCCTCTTGGCGGCCCCCTCCGCGCGGCGATCGCCGGCATTGACCCCCCCCCCCCCACACCTTTGCCCACAAATTCCCAGGAGCTGAGACCAGATACCTCCCATTGCGCTTAGCCCGATTCGGATCGCAGTGGTTAGCACCCCCTTTCCTGGCCCGCTGACTCACTGAGGCCACTTCCTACACCGCCACCGTCCTGCCTCTAAGCCATTGCCGGCCACTTCTTGGCTCCCTTGGATCGTTATTGCAACTTCCCAGGCTGCCTGAGCCTTCTGTGGTCACATCCCAGCACCTGCCCTACCCCAGGGACATTATGGATCTCTTCTGGACCTTTCAGAGATAAGAGCTTGGACCTTGGCAGTGTAGGGCCCAGTCTTCTGGGAAGGAGGGATAGAGGGTTTCAGGCTGCTGTCCTTGATTCCAGTAGCTTCCACGCCCCTCCACAGGAGTCCCATGAGTATGGCCCCAGAGAGGGTTCACCTCAAGATATCTAAGCTGAGAAAAGATAGAGATTTTACAGTCCTCAAAGAGTCAGTGGGGTCCTCTCTAGGTAATTCTCTCTAGGAAAGGAGCTTTAAAAAGCTACTGTATTCCCAGGAGGATGAAAGATGGTGAGCAAGCATTTGAAACCCTGTCTCTGGGACATCAAGCTTGGATAAAGTCACAAGAGAAATACAGTTCTGGAGGGACCAAGGGGTTTTCTTGTGGAAAAATTAAACCCTGTTTCGTTTTCCTGGAGGGTTATCCAGACCAGTTTGGGGAGGTTACCGGGAGACCAGTTTTAGCTTGGTGGAAGGATAAAGTTAACACTATGAGTTGCCTGTGTGTCTGGAGGGAGTAAGCCAAAGACCAGGTAATTTTTAAAGAGTGCAAGACATAAGTATTAGAGTGAATAATGTCAGGGTCCTTTCTGACTGTGAAATTCCATGATACTTAATCATCTCTTCTCTTGGCTCTTGAAAGCCCCTTGTTAAACTCCTATTTTGAAAACTTGCCCAGCTCTGGAATTCATGTTCAGATTACTTTTGAGCTGTCAAGGTGACAGTTCCTTAATTTGGGTTCCATTATTACTGCAACAGCCGCCTTATTTGTATAGCTGTCTTTGGCACACGGAGCTTTTTCACACTAGTTATTCAATTTTATCTTCTGTGAGGCATAACTGTTCAAAGAGACAGAGGAACTTGCTCTGAAGTCCTGCTGCACTCTCTTTTTTTCTTCTGAAACACAATTTTGCAACTTTCTAGAAGACTCTTTGTGAAGTATACCATTTGCCTAACCCTGCTGGGTCACATGCTCTCTCATGGGTTTCTGAAATGATCTATTCTTTGTGGTTTATTTTAGGACCAAGGCACTGATATTTGAACGGGAAGCTTCACAAAGTTGAAAAGAATCTTCAGAACGGCTTTGAACCCAGACAAGCTAGGAATCTCTTCGGAACACCGCCTTCAGCATGCATCTCCCCGACTGGGCATTCCTGGCCAGGAGCTTTTTGAAGAAGTTGTTCTGCAGAGAGCCAGAATGCTGATGCTCATGGAACCAGCTTAGTGGATTTGACTTTTCTGGTAGAATTCTCTTGCTTTATGATATACTCTCTCCCAGAGTTCTAAGACGTGTGGAGGTATTCAGGGCACCAAAGATCCTGCGGGGAAGGAAGTAGCACTTTCATGCTGAATGAAAACCAAGCAGGTGACAGTTGTGGCTGAAAACATTTAAACCTTTCACGCCTGGACTTCCTGGATCCGGGACACAAAGGAATAGTTGCTGCTGGGGTGCAAGAAGCGATCCCAGACAAGAAAACCCAAATAAATAGAATGAGGGCGACAGGCAAGTAAATGGCCACCACTACCTCGACAGAGCTGATGTCAGCCTCCTGGTGAGTAGCAAGGCCTGTGTGGCTTACTTCCTGCCAGGCTGCTGGACCCATGTTTTGGATTAACTGAAAATCCCCAGCCAGGCTGTCTTGATTTTATTAAGGGGGAGGGGTGGGGAGGCATTTTTTTCTCCAAGCAGGCAAATCAAGCATGTGAGCCACTTCTTTCCAGAGCTGCCGGGTTGTGACCTTGCATTGTTGGAGCATTCGGGCATTGCTGGTAGATTGCAGAAAAGATGGCCATGGCCGGGTCACACAGTCAGCTTTGATGACGGTGTGGGCGCTGTAGCCTTCATTGGTAAGAGACAAGAAATGGCTGCACATTTCTAGTGGAGCCACACCACTGGAAGAGGTTTGGCCAGTCCGCTTCTTGAAGGGTATTATACAACATCTGCCTAAACTCAGTTTCCTCTCCACCCCAACTGGGTTAAGCCTCTCTTGTCAATTGCTTCAGCAAACCTTCATTGAGGAATGAAAGCAAAAGGCATGGTTTAAATAGAATGAGCAGGACTCGGTGATCGGTTATGTGCGCAGAAGGCACAAAGATGGAGTTGTTCAAAATGACACCCTGGTTTTCTTTTGTGTGCCTTAGTGAGGGTGCTTTCACCCAGAGAACACAAGGAGCAGGTAAACGGGGGCCCGGCATTGGGGTTTCTGATTGGGGTTGACACGTTCTTGAGGCTTTCTGATCTGACTTGCCCTGCACTAGAGACAGAGTTCCCACTTGTCATCCAGAAGATAAGGTGGGAGCCAGGGAGGGTGTAGGGCGAGGGTGTAGATCCAGCGAGAAGAGTGCGGGTGACAGAGTGGTCACAGCTCCTCCTCCTTCTGCTCTAGCCTGATGGGTGTGCTTTCAGAGAGGTAAAACCCAGTCCCAGCCTTTGGGGATTCTGCTTTGTGTGTCTTAAACAGGTTAATTATGGTTACGTTGCAGAGTAGACAGAGTCCTTTGCGAAGAACGGAGGGTTATGGGAATTGAGAAGAGAGATTCCTTTGCGTGGAGGAAATCAGAAGTTTGATGAAGGGTCGTGTCAGTTATTCTTAACATACTGTTAGGGTTTTGCCAGGCAGAGAGGGGTTCAGGGCTCCACTGTGAACTCTCATGAGCCCCGTTTTCCCATTATAGACTCCCTATCCTGCATTGAAACTGTATGTTTACTGTCTCCGTTTGATGGCCACGGCCCCAGGTCTGGCAGAGGGAGAGCACACCATCAGGCCTAATTTACTGTTTGTTAAATGAAGGCATGAATTTCTGATCCAAGGGATATTTCCGGAGATATTTGTGCCCAGCAGTTGTGAAGTGGGCAGCTAAGACATCCCCTAACTATTTTATTATCAGAGCCTTAAAAGACAGCATCCCAAACCCTGTGGTTATATGGTTAAGGGTCCGTGTCTCAAGAGATGGCCCTGGGTGCTCTGTTTCTCCTCCAGCTACTCTTCGGTCTTTCTGCCAGACGGCCTGATGGCTGGATTGAGGTATATTTTTAGTTTGACTGGAAGGCCCTTGCAAAATGGTTTTTCTTATCTATTTGTAGCTACTGGGTTCTTTCTTCCCTGGGGCCACCAGAAGGCTTCTCAAATACTGAGTAATGAACCCTTCGCACGCTGGGAAAGAGGAAGCTGTGTTTTCAAATGCCTTGATCCCTGGATGAAAGGAAACATGGTTCCGTTCTGTTCTCTTGCCAGGTGGAATTATTTTTTCCTTTATGATGGTTCAAAGGTAAAGGAAGAAGGAGATCCAACCAGAGCTGGTATTTGTTACTTCTACCCTCCTCAGGTAAGCACCCCAGTGGGTTACTCTTCCGGGGGTGGAGTCCCTACAGCCTCCAAGTGGTGGCTTTTCAAAAGTGTAGCATTGACATTGGGACAGTGTTCTTTGCATCACCCAGGCATTTGACATTTCTACCCTCTTATCCTTAGTTGTACTATTTCTTGTTGTTCTGGTCTTGAAAACCCCAGACAGCTCAGCACTTCCATCCTCTCTAGCTCTCTGCTACCATCCTATATTTTTGTCTGTCTCCCCTTGCTCCCGGGTTTTCATCAGCAAAAACACTTTTTTCAATTAACATTTTTAAATTAAAAGTGAAACACTTTTTTAAATTTTTAAATTTTTTAAAATTAATTTTTCTTGAGACACTTTTTTTTTTAAAGATTTATTTATTTGAGAGAGAGAGAGAGCGCGTGTGTGTTGGGGGAAGGGCAGAGAGAGAGAGAGAATCTCAAGCAGACTCTCTGCTGAGCTTAGAGCCCAACCTGGGGCTCTGTGCCGCAATCCCGAGATTGTGACCCGAGCTGAAGCCAAGAGTCAGATGCTCAACCGACTTAGCCACCCAAGCACCCCCTAAAACACTTTTATTCAAAGGTATACAAAAGCAGGGAGGAGAGGAGTATCACAAGCCCTCATGAACCAGTTAATTAGTAAAAATAATTCCTTAATATCATGTGATACTATCTGTATTCAAATTTTGCCTTCCTGTCTTAGAGGTTACTTAATCAGACCTTGCTCCTTCCATTTCTCCAGCCCTCCTTCCCTCCTCACCCCCCCCCCCACTTCTAGTCATGATCCAAACAAGGTCCACACATTCCATTGCTTCTTTTGTGTTTTAAGTCTCTTTTATTGTGTACCACTCCTCACCCACCTACCCAGCCCCTTTCCCCACTACGCCACAGAATTACCGAAGAAGCCAGGGCATTTGTGCAGTAGAATGTCAGAAGGTCCCACATTCTGGATTGGCCTGATCACTTCAAGGCCGTGTAGTTTCAGATCTTCCTTCCCCTGTAGTTCCTTTACACTAGTAGTAAGATCTAGAGCCTCAATTAAGTTCAAGTTCGGTTCTTTTAAACAAGACTTCTTCCTGGGGGTGTGTACCTTTTCTTTTGCATGATAAGATGTCTGGCTGCCCCACAGGTTAGTTAATGCTAAGACCGATTAGGAGGTCTGTGTATTTGTTCACATGGTCATGCTCCCACTTGGGTAGCTGGGATGAATCTAGGCTACTTTGGCCACTCTGCAGGGGATCTGAATAGGGACCAAAGGCTCCTGCTGCTACCCACTCACGGGCCGCAGACTTTGCCTGACAAGGGCCCAGGAGTCAATATTGAGGCCTTGCCAGCCACGGAGGGTCGACATCACACTTTCTTCTTTGTTGTTGCTATTACCACCCTTAACTATGAAAACCACGCTCAGCTCCCGGGCCATGTGAAACCAGGCAGCAGCCTGGGTCTGCCCTGCCGGCTGCAGTCTGCTGTGGCCTCAGCCCCTGCTTCAAGGGATGCCGCACGAGTTTGACAGTTTCAGCTTCCCCTCTGGACTTTTCTGCTTCCCCTCAGACCCTGCTGGACCAGCAGGAGTTGCTCTGTAGCCAGATTGCGGGCGTCGTGCGCTGTATCTTGGACCTCTCCGCCTCTGCTCCTACCCTCGTCCGTCTGCGGAAGCTGAAGTTCGCCGTAAAGGTGGATGGAGAGTACCTTTGGGTAAGTTGACCAGACAGAACCCGTGCCGCCAGGGTCGCCTCCACCGTGAATCATCTGTCTTGGTGATGAGTGCTGTGTCTCGAAGGTGCTGTGGAGCCTGGGACCCCTCTGCACCCCCAGGGCCTGTGTGCGGGACTGTCCACACTTCCTCTGTCCTTCTCTGCAGGTGCCACCATAACCAAGTGCTCTCCAGAATATTTCTAACCTGTTCTGTGTTGCACATGGCTGCTTTCTCGTTGCCTTTGAGAGACTTCAGCCAGCCTGTGGAAATTCTTTCTGCCCTGTGATGCAGGTCAAGTTTTCAACCTCTGTGTTTTCTCCCCTGTACTCTCCACACTTACAGGGCAATGACCCAGAAACTCGAAGATGTTGATGTATAGATGTTAGGTTTCAAAGAACCTTAAAAAAATAATGAAAACTACTTCTTTACGGTTGATGGCACCATATACACTAGGGTCCTATTGTCCCATGCCTACATTTATTTAAAACTGATTTCTAGTTTCTATTTCTAGCATCTGAAAGGATGCTTAAGTGTGAGGTGGTATATTCAGCTTTGTGGGTATGCCTGCCAACGTTTTATGATGACCGTTTTCTCACGTACCAAACCACTGAAGGAATTTTACAGTAAACACTCATTAAGACTTCCTAGGTTCTACAGTTATCATTTTATTATATATATTATTTATTACAGTCACTTTATCACATCTCTCCATCCCTTCATCTTCTGGCAATCCAGTTTTTATTTTAATGCTTGCCCAAATTGCACACACTAGTATACGCCTCCCCCCGGTCCCCCCACTCTGCTGCCCCCAGTACCTCATTGTGCATAACATTAATTAGAGTTCAGTAGTGGTTTGTGCTTTTTTTCCTTTGGGGGTAAGAGTTACATACACTGAAACACACAAATCTTGAGTGTACCACTTAATGCATATGGACAAATTATGCTCCGTGTGACAGAGGGCCATCAAGATACAGAATATTAGCATCACTCTGGGCAGCTCCCCGACATCCTGTTAATTCTCATTCCTGAATCCCAGGCAACCATCATTCTGATTTTTTCCCACCACAGATGAGTTTTGCCTGTTCTAGAAGTCACAGGAGTGAAACGGTACATGTAGTATTCCTCTCCGCAGGCTTCTGTCGTGCTTGTGACCTGATGGGGTGTGTATCTGCAGTTCCTTCCTTTTCATTGTTCACCAGCGTTGCCTGAATGTCCGTTGTCTGGATCTCCCGGTCTACTTACTCTCTCTCCTTTTTCTAGGTATGTGAACCGTGTCTAGTTAGGGGCAATTAAGAATAAGGCCTCTGGGAGCATTTCTAGACCTGTCTTGTTGTAGATATGACATTTCATTTATCCTGGGTAAATATCTAAGGTATAGATTTGCGAGGTTACAGGGTAGGGGTGTGTTCATTTTATGAGAAACTGCCAGACCTTTTCCCCAAGCAGTTTTACCATTTTGCACTCCCACCATGTGTGAGAATTCCAGTTCTTCCATGTCCTTGTCAACACATGCTGTCTGTCTGTCCAGTTTGAGCCATTCTGCTGGGTGTGTAGTGATATCACATTGTGGTTTGCATTTACATTTCCCTAATGACTAAGGATATTAATGGCCACTGGTCTGTCTCTCTTCAAGAAGTGTCTGTCCAGAGCTTTTCTGCCCATTTTTTAAAATTAGGTTTTTTTTCTTTACTTAGTCTTGTGAGTTTTTTCTGTATCCTGGATATCAGCTGTTTGTCAGAGATATATTTTAATTTTTTTAAAAGATTTTATTTCTTCATTTGAGAGAGAGAGAGCACAAGCAGGGGGAGAAGCAGAGGGAGAGGAGAAGCAGACTCCCCACTGAGCAGAGATCCCGACATGGGGCTCAATCCCAGGACCTAGAGATCATGACCTGAGCCGAAGGCAAATGCTTAACCATCTGAGCCACCTAGGTGCCCCTGTCAGATACATATTTTAAAGGTATTTTCTCCCAGTTTGTGGCATGCCACAAACTGGTGGTACACTCAAGATTTCTTTCTTTCTTTTTTTTTTTTAAGATTTTATTTATTTATTTGATAGAGGCACAGCGAGGGAGGAAACACAGCAGGGGGAGAGGGAGAGGGAGAAGCAGGCTTCCCATGGAGCAGGGAGCCCGATGTGGGGCTTGATCCCAGGACCCTGGGATCATGACCTGAGCTGAAGGCAGACGCTTAAAGACTGAGCCACCCAGGTGCCCCGCCTGTCAGTTTTCTTAGTGATGTCTTTTGATGAGTGGAACATTTTAATTTTTTTCTAAGTTTATTTATTTAAGTATTCTCTATACCCAACATGGGACTCAAACTCATGACCTGGAGATCAAGAATCGCATGCACCCCCAGAATGTTTTCATTTTAATGAAGTCTAATTTGCCAGTTTTATCCTTTGTGGTTATTGCCCTCTCTGTATCCTGTCTGAAATCATTCCCTACCCTGTTGGAGAAGACATCCTGCCACTTTTTGGGCAAGCTTCATAGTTTTAGCTTTTAAACTTAAGTCTGTAACCCATCTTGGATTAATATTTGTGCGTGGTGTGAAATAGAGGTCAAAGGTTCTCTTTTTCCCTATGGATATCCAGTGGTTCCAGCACCATGGTTGAAAAACCTCTCCCGCTTGGATTCCTTTGACTCCTTTGTTGACGATCAGATGACCACTGCAGTGGTGGTGGCGGTGGGGGGGGGGCGGTCTGTTTCTGGGCTCTCCTCTTTTCCATCGATCTATTAGAAGATCCCATCCAACTACTGCACTGTCTTGAAATCGGATAGTCTAAGTCCTCCAGCTTTACACTTTTCCAAGACAACTTCGGGTATTTTAGGTCCTTTGTAAGTTTCCCTTGTGGAATCAACATGTCAGTTTTTGAAGGAAAGATGGCAGATGATGATTAGAGTTACATTCAGTCTATAGATTAATCAGGGAAGAGGTAAGCACTGACTGTGTGCCAGGCTGTGGATTACATCAGTGAACAAAACAAAGATCCTGGCCCCGGGGGGAACCTCCATTCAGAGGGAATGCGTCTGTTTTCTGCCAGGGTTTTTTTGTTGCTTTAAGTTTCTGGTGTTTCCTACAGGTGGAGTCATTGAGTCAAAGAATACAAACTTTCTTCAGGCTCTTTACACATACAGCCAGATTCCTTTCTGACCGAGCACATGTAGCAGTATTCCGGGGCTCTAGAACAGTGTGATGATCAGTCAGTTCCCTCCCCGAAGCACTTGACCCAGCCGGGGAGACAAGAGTGCCATTCATGAATTGGTCAGAGTCCTGTCCAGTGTTTGTAGTGAAACCCACATTAAGCATCCAGTGCCCAGATAACAGTCCTGATAATGTAAGGGCTCAGAAAAGACATCAGCATCCGTTAGAGTGATCAGAATGGGCACCACGAAGGTGCTGGAATCTGTAGCAGGCACCAAGGGGACGGGAGAGCTGTGGACAAATAGGAGAAAGGAGGGCATTCCAGGTGAGACAACATGAGTAGATACAAAAAGTACTTGTTGTCTTGGAGACCAGCTGGGCTGGACGATGTGAGCCTGGGGTAGACCCATCGGTGAGTCAGTGAATTCAAGCTCTGCAGAGCCCCGGGTGCCGGGCTTTCAGGCTTGGGCTCAAAGCAAAGGAAAATGCCCGTCTTCTGGTTTCCCTCTTTCCAGGTCCTGGGCTGTGCTGTGGAGCTCCCTGACGTTAGCTGCAAGCAATTTCTGGATCAGCTCATTGGAGTCTTTAATTTTTACAATGGACCTGTTTCTCTGGCTTATAAGGTATGGAGATATTAGTGAGGAGTTTTCAGTAAATCTGATGTTGCCAGAACACAGCATTACTCTAGGGGCTGTTACACTTGGTGTAAATACAGCATGTCTACCAACAAGGTCAAGGGGCCTTGGAGCCCCCGTCAGATGCCTTTGTTCCCCAGCAGTGTAGGTCACATCCACTGCAAATGTCTGTCCCCATGTTCTCCTCCCTGGGACTGTTGGAAAGAGCAGGTGGCAAGAGACGGGTGGCAACCCGTCCCCCGCACGTGCGCCGGGTCTGTGGTGGCTGAGTTCTCAGGGGGCGGCAGGTGGGGGTCTCGTGTTTAAAGGAGGTTTAAAGTGGGCCCTGCCTTCTGGCCAGTTTCCTGTGTGAGGAACGAGTTTTGCAGAAGTAGGGAGCCTTGCCAAAGGGTGTGTCTTACGGAATCTCAGACGCTGACCTCAGGTGGTTCCTGTTTTAGAACCGCTCTCAGGAAGACCTGCGCGCTGAATGGGACACCTTCATTGAACAGATTCTGAAGAACACCAGTGATCTGCACAAGATATTCAGTTCCCTCTGGAACCTGGACCGAACTCAAGTAACACCCTCATCCCCTGTACCCATTTCATGTAAAGGAACAGAGCCCGCTTCCCAGACCCACACACTGCTGTCACAGTGCCCTCTGCCACAACTGTTGATAGACAGTATAGTGAGACAGTGCTTGAAAGGGCATGAAGTAAATACTCCGTAGAGGGGAGTGTTATTTCGTTAGTGTCCCAGAAGTGTGGAACTCTGGCATCTGAGGGTCCCCGTCTGTCTCTTTTTTTTAAAGATTTTGTTTATTTATTTGAGAGAGAGAATGAGAGAGAGTACATGAGAGAGGGGAAGGTCAGAGGGAGAAGCAGACTCCCCGCTGAGCAGGGAGCCCGATGCGGGACTCGATCCTGGGACTCCAGGATCATGACCTGAGCCGAAGGCAGTTGCTTAACCAACTGAGCCACCCAGGCGCCCCCCGTCTCTCTTGATAAGGATATTCTACGATTGCCTTGTGTTCTCAACATCAAAAATGCCCAGTGGTAACATTTTAAAAACAAGATGTCTCTGGGAGAGAGTGCTCAGGAGCCGTTCCATTGGCCACCGGCGTTCAGTGATGTGTCGGCTGCTTATATGGCTGGCCTGACTGCCCGTTGCTCCGTGGCCTTGATCCTGGTGAACATCACATCCTCATTGTCAAGGGCCAAAGGGAGACGCGAGGCTGTGCCCCCTTAAGAAGCGAGCGCCTGCACCCCCAGCCCCCAAGGAGATGTGTGGGCTGTGCGGCGTGTCTCACTGCAAGAGCTGAGAGGGACCCTTCAAAAGGGATGTGGCGTCGTGACTCTGCCTTCACAGAACCCGACTCCGGCCAGAAATGGGGGCGGGTTTTTCTGGCTCCGGTTGGGAGAAATGTTCGAAGTGGGCCCCAGAGCTTTGCCGAATGGCTGGCTGGGCCTGGGCACTGTCTCGAGGATGTGAGAGAGGAGCGTCAGCTCCAGAACTTGCTCCATTGCCACGGAACTGTGATGGTGATGGCGTCGCGGGTTCTAGCTGCCAACAGGAAACAGGAAGGAGGCTTTTAGTCACTGCTGGTGACTCCTGACCGGGTTCAGATCCTTCTCTGGTATTTTTAGGGACTTGTAGGCAACTGACTCCTTACAGCATCTCCTGAAGCTGAGGAGTATTTCTCCGAGTGAGAGACCGCGATGTTTTCATTGCCTGTTACAGGACAGAGTTATGAGGCCACACGAAGCCAGCTAGCTCTGTGGCAGTGGGGCTTGTGCTCCGGAGGGAGGGGAGCGGAAGGGGCATTTGGTTTTACCTGGCACCGTGGCCTGTGTTTGAGGGGTAGGCTCTCCCGTCCGCTGCCTCCCGGTCTCAGCATCGAGTCAGGGTCTCCTGAGCGGAGACCTACCTTGCCCCCTGTGAGCGGCCACAGGCCACATTTGCCATACCTTCCTGCTTTGGCAGAAGCTGCCCCATTCCAAGAACTTGGCATTTTGCATCGTCTGCAGTTCTGGGTATAGAGAGGTGGAATGCAGACCCATGACGTGACACAGATCTTCCCACATGGCACCTTCTCCTTTTCCCCGGTTTTGGCTTAGCATCTGTCCCTCCATTCTGTAAAGCCTCCCCTCCTTCCCAGCTTGGCTGGTGGTGAGCATGCTCACTTGTGGCTGTGCTTCTCGCCCTGCACAGGTGGAACCCCTGTTGTTGCTGAAGGCAGCCCTCATTCTGCAGGCCTGCCAGCGTTCACCTCACATTCTAGCCGGCTGCATCCTCTATAAGGGACTGTGAGTAACACCAGACCCCTCTCCCTGTAACGCAGAACTGATCAGCCAGGCCACCACCAGGTCACCCGTGGGGAGCTCTGTCTCTGGCCAGTTCCAAGAAGGCTGCTTTGGCAAATATCAGGTCGTTTAGATTTGACGTAGGGGACATACCTGTCTTTCAGCAAAGCCAGGAAATTAGAAATTATGTCCAGAAAAGGGTTAGGAATATAAAAGGCAGTTTTGGAGAGGTCCACGTAAGTCTCAGCATGGGGCATCCCCAGGTCGTCAGTGGCCGGCACCGTAGGTAAAGGGGTGTGGAAGCCTGCCGCGGGCCCCTCCTGCTGCCTGGGGCTCCGGGGCACTTGGCTGTCGCCAGCCTTGCAGAGCGGCCATACCTGCTTCTGCTCGGGCTCCTGCTGGCCTCTCGGCTGGGTCCATCGCCCGGCTGGCCTCTGAGATCTCAGCACACCTCTTCACGTAGTTGGAGGGCATCGGAGCGAGCCCAATGCCTGCCCTCAGGGCCCCTCCACGTGTGGTCCAAGGCAGCTCTCCTCCTGGGGGGCTGCTGTTTGCATCCAGAGCTTACTGATGACTGGATGAATGTGTGACTGGAGAAGTTCTGGGGGCCTGATGGGCTGGGTTTCCAGTCCTGGCCTCACCTTCCCGGCCCTGTGACCCCAGGCTGGTTGCTTGCTGAGTTTTCTCTACCAGGAAAGAACGAAATGAGAGGGCCAACAGAGAAGGACCCACTACTTCCCAGTGGCCCTCGGCACAGCACACCATCATGCCTTTCCCCTTTGCTCATGACGGTTTGGAACCTGCTCGTGGTGCCTCCAGGCTCACCGGTGGCATGGCATCAAGCATGATGTTTTCCTCCTTTTCTCATGTCAAATTCTCATACACCTAATGTGTGAACAGGGTCTCATTGTGAAAAACAAAAAACCAAAAAAAAAACACAAAAAAACCGAACCAAGACAGAAACACACAGAGTGCAGTTCCCAAGTTCTTCTGAGCCCAGACTCACTGTTAGCAGGTGGAGGCACGTCCTTTGCTTTTCCCTGTGTTTCCGGCACATCAGTGGACATTGCTTCTGTTTATTTTTGCCGCATCCATAAATGGGATCATAGGGCTCCTCAGCGTGTACAGTAGAGATTTCTCTTGTCAGTCCATGCTGGTCTCCTTCATTCTTAGAATCACCGCACACCTTTTGGTGTTAAGGCTGTGCCATGATTTCCTTAATTACTCTCTGTTTGATGGGCATTTGTGGGGTTTACCCATTTCTGTAATGATTTTGCCATTTTTTTGATAATCAGTACACTTCAGCATGCATCTTGGTACAAGGCAGGTCAGAGGGTTTGGACATTTTTTGAAGTTCGGTAGGAATGGCCAGAGTGCCCTCCATAAAGGGCTTTGCCAGTTGAAACTCCCACCGGCTGTGTCCCCAAGATCTTTTTTTTTTTTAATATTTTATTGATTTGAGAGGGAGAGCAGAGCAGGGAGCCCAACAGAGGGCTCAATCTCAGGACCCTGGGGTCATGACCTGAGCCGAAGGCAGACGCTTAACCTACTGAGCCACCCAGGTGCCCCCCGCCCCCCGCCAAGATCCTCACCAGTTAGGGTGTTAGGAATCTTTCCAATTCAGAGTCCTATGATGTATTTTGTCTCATGGTGTTTTTGTTCCTATGACCTAGGATTGTTAGTACCCAGCTCCCACCCTCCCTCACGGCCAAGGTCCTGATTCGCCCAGCTGCATCTCAGCACCAGGTATTGTAAAGCCCCCTCTCCCGGCTGGGACACTTTGTCCAGAGTGTCTGTTTTTAAGCAAAAAAGATAGAATTTTATATAATGTGATTTCAAAGTATTTTTTTAAAATGCATAAACTTAAAGGAAAATATGCCTCAGATTAACAGTATTAGCTTGTGGGTGAGGGAATTATGTGATTTTTTGGGGGGGGGAATTATATAGAGTAAAATTATATAACTTGAAATATGAGTTTTTTAAAAAGCTCCTAAAAAAAAAGAAAGAAGGCCACATCATTTCATAGGAGTGCAAGCCATGCTGGCTAGAAGAGTTTTTGGTTTTTGTTTTGGTGGCTTATTTTAGAACCTTTGGTTGAACTGTCTGGAAAGCTCTTTTGAGAAAATTACTAATTTGGGAGAAAATTAGGATTGTCACCTTGATTGTGAATCAGAATAAGCCAGAGAGCTCTTGCATAGCCTTTGGTTTAGGTCAGATCCTTTATCACGAGGGTCACAGGGCGTTCACATACCTGTTGAGCTGGTATGTTCCACACCAGGGCTGTGGCAGGTGCAGGGATATGGTGACAGATGTGTTCTCCAGAGGCATAAAAGGTTAACAGGAATCCTCGCTTTCCTTCCCAGAGGAGGGAAACAGCAATCAGAGCGTGAAGCCTGATGCGCATTTCGGGGGGAAGCTGCTGCTTGTGCAGGGTGCAGGTTCTTGCCTGATCCCGGCCGTGGTGGTGAGCAAGCAGCTCGGGGGAGCTTCTGTTCCATCTGCTTTGCTGCTGGCATGCGGAGGGGGCCAACATTCTGGGCCTGGCTAAGTTTCCCAAACAGATGGCCCGGCGCAGTCATGATTGGGTTGGGAGGAGAAAGCGGTCCCCGGCGCCAACTTCTGTGTGTGTTTATTTGCAGAGAAGACCTGCAGGAGGGGGTGGCCTGCAGGAACGGGGTGAGTGGCAAGGTGCCTCGCTGCATCTTGAGAACGCGGTCTTTTATGCTGCCTGTCCCCTACACAAGTCATGGGAGAGGCCAAGCAGTCCCATGGGTCATCTCATCTGTTCATAGATTAGGAGAACAGACGAGAGCTTTAAGAACAAAGTTAGCCAATCAGAATCCTGATCGTAAGGCTCATGATTTTAGACGTACCTTCTAAATCCTTGTTTTCATATGGTCCCTCCCTCATTGTTACAAGGCTGCTTAAACTAGGTCCAGGGGATCCTGGTTAGGAGGGGCTAAGATAAATGGCAGCGGCCAGAAAGACCTTCTGCAGGATGTGGAGGTGTCCCCGAGATGGTTATTTTGTTTTATTTTGAAGCCCAAGGTAGAACAGATCCCTGTTGTCAGTTGGAAGTGCTTTTTCCAGCTTTTATCTGTTTTTTTTATGTGCCACTAGATTTTCTTCCCCCCAAAAGTCACTTTCCTCCACAGTGAGGAGTAAAGCTGCCCGTGAGGGCTCCTTCCTTGCTGGGCACGGGAACGGTAGCTATGGGTTTGTGTCCTTTGTTCTGGGCTGAGGAGCATGTCAGAGCGCTCCTCTGAGCAGGCATTTGGGTTGGATGCGTCCCCCTGAAGTGCAGTGACTGCCCCTCCCATCTTCCGCGGCCCAGGGCTGAGCCCTGTCCATGTTGCTTTGTGATTCCAGAAGCAGCGCTCCCCCCAAATGTCCGGATCATGCCCGTGTTCCTGACCAAAGAGGAGGCCACCAGTCTCCAAGAGTTCCCGAGGGAGCAGGCAACTAGGTACTGGAGCCACAGGAGTTCCTGGTAGACTGTACTGGAGGGACTCCCTCACGTGGGTGTATGCACACAAGCCCCTGGACATCCCAGCCTTCCGTATGCCATATTCCCCATGCTCTGCCATGGAAGGGGCATCTGGGACTCGAGCATATAGATAACAGGTGCCTGGCATCGTGAGATGGCTATGGGTTTCAAGTCCCCGATCTGTCACCTGTCATCTGTGTGACCTTGGGCAAGTCCATTCCCTGCCAGAGCCTTAGCGTTTTCGTCTGTAAAAGAGACCCAGTGATAACCTACTTTATGGGCTCGGTGTCAAAATTGGAAATAGTGTACATATAGTATCCGGTCCAGGCCCTGACTCAGAGCAGACTTGCACGTGGGGCTGGCTCTCACACAGTGGGGCCCTGCTGTCTCCAGCAGGTGATCGGGTAGCACCATGTGAAGCCCGGAGCGCCAGACAGTGCCTTCCTTTTACTCCTGTGGTTTGACCACCAAGGCCTCTTCAGCTCTGTGGCCTCAGGCACCCACTTGTCACCAGTGGCCCTGCTTTTTAGGGAAGCGGTTCTTTAGTGTTCTCCAGGGAAGGGCACCTGCCCTGCATTTGGCCGGGCGCCCCTCCCTCATGTCTGCCTTGTTTGTCAGCCCTGCTACAGCGCCGGCCAGACTCCAGGAGTGCTCAGCCCAGCAGCATCCACACCCTTGGAGCTCCGCTGCCCCGACAGACAGCGCCACTGGCCACGTGGAATCCACGGCCTGGATGCGGGCAGCCACTCCCGAGTCTGCATGTCCTGACGTAGCATGGCCAGATGGCAAGGGGGAGAACGGGCTCTTGCCTGGCCGTGATGTGGAGAATGTCAAGCCTGCAAAACTGCACAGCCCTGCCAGGGACGAGGGTCCTGGTCTTGGCTACTCCCTGGCGAAGGAACTTCGTATGCCCTTGGGGGAGGAGGAGCCAGACTTGTCTGCCATCCACATTCCAAAAGCTCAGGAAACGGCAACAGCCTCAGGTTATTTTGCCCTCTCGAATATGGGCACCCCAGATGGTGGCGGTCCCGCCTTTGAGGAATTTGTCAGGGACTCTGGCGACCGGGAACCTGAGCCACCTGACGCCCCGCCCGCGGTCGTGGCCATGGCCATCAGCAGCCTCTTCTCTCCGTCCACTCCTGAGATGCTCAGCCAGAACGGAGCCCTGGAACAGCATGACAACCTCCCAGAGGACAGCAGCCTAGCCCCCTTTCCCAGGGAAGACCACCTCCCCAGAAGGATGAGCAGGCCTCGGTCATGGCCTTGCTCAGACTTGAGGCAGGGAGGAACCACACTGCCTGTGGCAGACCAGGGCGTGGAGCAGCGTGTTGGGGTGCACGACAGCTGCTCAGCACCTGACGGCTCAGACTTGGCAGAGTCTCAGGACAACTACGGTCCCTCCGCACACGGAAGTGCCCCAAGGTCAACCCCAGCATCCTGTGTGGGTCTCGTGCCAACAAACCTCTACACTCACAGTGTTAACGGGCTGGTGCTGTCCCTGCTCGCTGAGGAGCCGCTGCTGGGTGACGATGCTGCCATCGAGGAGGTGGTGAGTGTGTGCAGACCTGACTCCCGGGGGCGGGGAGGAGCAGGGCAGGTTCCCCCCCAGCTGCACCGTGCAGGGCTGCAGGACCTTGTGGGCCATCCCACCTGCTTTCCACGTGTGGATGACGGTCGTGCCTACGGCCTGGCTTGGGTGGGGGTGAGTGAGTCCAGTGCAGCGCACAGTGCTGGGGGCAGAGGTGTCCCACAAAGTCAGTTCCCTGGCCCTTTCCCACTTCTTCCGTTTTCACAGAGCGCAGGGCGGGGATGCTCTGGCCTCCCCCCTCAGCAGCGTCGGGGTGCTGATGGGGCCCTGCCCTTCAGGTGCAGCGCGAGCACCATCACACAGGTGAAGACGGGGAGCACGGCCAGGGTGGTGCCGCCGCCACCACCACCACCTCCGGTGGCCTCCCTTCCCAGCCTGGGCGGCTGTAGGTTCTGTGTGGGCTGGAGTCTGTACTCTGCCCGAGTCACAGCCCAGGTGGGGAGTATCCCAGAAGGCTGTGCTTTCCCTCCACTGAACCGTGGTGATCTGTAGCCCCTTCCTAGCGGGCCTGGGACATCTGAAATGCTAACGGGCTCCAGAAGGCTCCTCATAAAGCATTCCAGCCCCTTCCGCACTCAGGGCCGTGAACTGGCCTGCTCGAAGCCTAGGCCCACACTGGAGCTCCAGTTGCTATAGTAACAGCCTCGCCTGGTTGGCAGGGAAGTGGTAGCAGGAAGAACAGGAGGTTGAAATAGCTGCAGGGCACATGGTGTCCTGGGGCTTGCCTTGTTTCTGTTCTTAAATCTGTATTATTCTAAGGCAATCTTATTAGCATGCAGGGCTCAGGCTCGGTCACCTTGGAGCTCAGAGGAGGGGAGGCAGCTTCCTCTGCGCTGAGCCCCAGGCAAGAGGCTGCCCCTCTCCTGGCCTGCTGGCTAATCTCCCCTTTCCACAGTCCACACAGCACCCAGTGGTGGTTGCGTTGCTTCCTGCACCTCCTTCACCGCAGCTGTGAGGGACTTACGCTCCCCCTTCCGCCAGCACCCCGGGGCCCGCGGTGCTCCGGTGCTCTGTCTCTTGTCTCCCTGACGATGCCTTGGTACTTGGGGCTTCTTCCGCTTCGCCCCAAGCTGCAGACAGGTTATTTTGAAGGCACAGCGTTTGGATGCAATGAAGTTGGATATGCTATCTTTACCTCCCCCCGCCCCACCCAAAAGAAAGAAAAAGAAAGAAAAAAAAAAATAGCATAGGCTGCTCCTGAGGAAGGAAGTAAATTAAAATGTAGTCTGCATTCAGTGGATACTAAAGCCTTGACGTCTACTATTTCAGCCAAGCCTGAGCGCAGCACTGGGGGTAGGCACTGTAACTCCCGTTTTACCAGGAAGAAGACAAAACAGAGGGTCCAGAACCCTGGCTTGTTCCTTTTCTCCCTGCCCCCTCCTGTCTGTTCCCCCACTGATCTGACCCCGGAGTGACTGGCCTTGGTTTGTCATGCAGGGCTCCTGTCCTGACACAGCGCCTCCCTGGGCTTTCATGCAAAGGAGGGTTTGGTGTGGGATGGGCCCCAGGAAAGAGATGCAGTGTAATGAAAAAGAAAAACTCTTTGCTGAAGAGTCGGGAGTAACTAACTTTGATCAGCTTGCTGGTTTGAGAGCGGGCTTTATTGATCAGGCCCAAAGGCTGTCTGTTTTATAATTGGGAGAGATCTTTTATTGCCTTTTTGTCCTGGAACTGCATATAAAATACTTGACCTGATTTCCCTTCTCCTGCTGTCAAGAAAAGCAGGTCCTCTGCAGCATGGTAAACCACAATTCAGATAGGTCAGTGAGCTCCCCCACCACTTTGAAAGGGCTCCATGATCATATTGTACACCACCAAGGGACCCTCGTGTCATTTGCCATCTTGTCTTTCGGTGGGTGAACTGCCACCTCTTTATGTTGTCTGAGGGTGGGGACGGAGAGCTGGGTGGAAGGGGGTGGGTGAGGGGAGCAGCCAGGAGAGGTTGCCAGTGGGTCCGAGAAAACAGTACGCTCACACCAGGGGGCAGCATAGAGCCACTGATAGTTTCCTACTCAAAACCCAAGATGATCTTACTGACCTTCAAATACAGGGATCAGATCAGTTATTCATTGCTACAGTAGGACTTGGAGCTGTCCGTGTACAGTAGATGAGGCCTGAGGGTAGTGCCAGGGTATTAGTGTAAAGTACTTCATGAAAATGCACCCCTCCGCCGTGAAACTGGTGCTTTGGGAGAAGGTGTGTTACTGCATCATTTCTTCCGTACATTATGGCACACACTGACATTCAAGCCACTTGCTTTACTACTGACTAGAAGCTGGAGGATCCAGGAATTAGCCCCGCTTCATGTCTCCTGGGGCTGTTGTGAGGGGTCATGTGTGTGCTAGTGTATATCAGGGGTTGGCAAACTTTTAATGTAAAGGAACACCTGGTGCGTATTTTCAGCTTTGTACACTTACCCGGCTCCGCTCTTGTAGTATAGTCACAACCATAGACAATATGTAAATAAACGTAGTGGCTGTGTTCCAGTAATACGTTACCTATGGATCCAGAAATCAGAACTTAGCTTTCTTCCTTCTCAGCTTTTCTGTTCACCTCTACTTTCTGATTTTTCTACATTTTAAGAAAGCATTAGAACATAAGGGTGGGAGCGGCACCCGGGTGGCTCGGTTGAGTGTCCGACTCTTGATTTTGGCTCAGGTCATGATCTCAGGGTTGTGAGATTGAGTCCCGTGTGGGGTTCCGCACTGGATGTGGAGCCTGCTTAAGATTCTCTCTCCCTCTGCCCCTCCACCCCCCACGTTCGCTCCTTCTCTCTCTCCCTCTCTCTCTCAAATAAGTAAATCTTAAAAAAAAGAACATAAGGGCATGAGTTAGTATTTCTCTAAAAGCAGGTAAAAACACCAGTCAGGGTCCTTTCTGCTACATCAGGTGGCCACTCGGATAATATTTGGGTCATTATTTCCTAAGCACTGGCCTGCTGAGGTTAACTGTGCCGTCCCTTTGCAGTACTGCAGTAGCCTGGCGTCCCTGAACGGGCTGGAGGTCCACCTGAAGGAGACGCTACCCAAAGACGTGGCTGCCTCCCCCAGAAGGACGTACAACTTCACGCATTATGACCGCATTCAGAACGTGCTGACTGGTAAGGAGAGGCGCATGGGGCCCGGGTGCCTCCAGACAGGAGTGGGGGTGAGGACTCGGGGCCGGCGCCCCCGGGGTTGGTGCTGTGCCCAGAGTTGTGGACTACAGTTAGGATGCTGCTTTCTCGCTTGGGAGCCAGCTCCCACTGAGTTTAGAATTCGACTGGCAAACACTTCCTTACTCATTTGTCTTTTTTTGGTTGTTTCTCCAACATTTTGAGAGAAGCACACACATGTTCAAATATCTGTGATAAGGTCTGCCTCGAGATTTTGGTATTCATGGGCAGACGCCGGTGCTGCTCATTCTCTGTCTCATGGTGGAAGCTGATGGCACTCATGGCCCTGAGCCCCCTGCTCTCCCTGTTCATAGTGCTGGGGGTGGGGAGAGCGGGGGAGGAGTCCACTACCCACAACTTCTGTGTCCTCTTCCGGAAGCAAACCTGCCACAGGTGGCCACCCCCCAGGACCGCCGCTTCCTACAGGCCATCAGCCTCATGCACTCGGACTTTGCCCAGCTGCCTGCACTGTACGAGATGACTGTCAGGTGAGTGTCCCCCCCGCCCCTGCCCTGGGTTACTCCTGAAGTCCTGCACCCAGAGCCGCCTTCCCGGGGGTCTGGGCCACAGCCTTATTCATAACGAAATGAAGAACATTCCAGTGCTTCTCTTTAAGGCCTCCTTTTATCCATTCCCCTGCCCACCCACCGTCACCTCCTCTCACGGGACAGAGGGCTTCTGTCTACTGTCAGAAGCGATGCCTGAATGCCGTTGCTGCCTGCTAACTTGGGTCGCATGCTCACAGAAATGGTCAGACTGGCCCGAATCGAGGAAGTAAAATGTTTGCCTCCCCTCACCCGTCACACACCCAAAAGATACCCATGGGTTAGTCTGGTGTCTCTTACTCCAGGTTTTGGTGGTGGTGTGGGGTTTTCTTCTTTCCTTAGAAAATAGAGATTGTTACTATTTTAGTTATTTTGTTTTTCTTCTAGAAAACAGGATCACACTAATGTACTGTTTTACAAGTTCTTTTTTTCACTCTATTATATATCCTAAGCATCTCTGTGTCAGTAGGTACAGATCTATAAATCAGTATTGTACTTTATAATATTTAACCAACTGAATCCTACTTTTTCTTCCTACATGCTTCTCTTATGAAACCGGTAGGAGAAAATAAGGCAAGTTAGAGGGTCAGGAGGGGAGGGTGTGCTCTGTGTTTGTTATTCCACTCAGTCCTTGGAATGATTTGGACAAGTGCATTATTTTTTGTCCTTGTGGTACAGATGAGGATACTGAGGCAGAAACAGGATAAGTGGCTTCCCTCAGGGTCACAGTCTGATTAAGGGGCAGGATTTGAACCCATGTCTCTCTGACTCTGAAGTACACATTCTGTCCGCTCGTTTCCAGCTCAAGGGGGCGGGGTGGGGCGGTCGAGAGGGAGGGGTGTGGGCTCTGGACTCCCACAGACGTGCACTGGGGCCTTGGCCATCATGGCGATGCCGTGCCAATGCCCTGCACATGGGGTTTCGGGCGTCTCTGCCGCCCAGGACCATCTCCAGCCAATACTTCAGTGTATCTTTCCATGAAAATGTGCTTTCTCCGGCTTTAAGTCCAAGCTGCCCCAGGCCGGCGACCTAGATGAACGTGTCCAGTCACGGCTTTGGGACCAGTTGCACTGGGGTGTGTGGGGGTCTGTTTTGGGAGGGATGGAAATAAGTGAAATGTCAGCCTGTGATCCATCAACCTCCTCGTGGCCCTGTGGTACTCCACCTTCCTTGGGGTGGAGAGGGTCCTAGTGTTGGGATACATGGCTTATTTTAATAGTAATAGAAACAGCGGCCACCATTTCTTAACCCCTCACCGTATGGTAAGCAATTTATATGTATTTGACTCATCTAGTCTCTTAAAAAAATCTCAGGGACGGGATTCGCTGTTGTCCTATTCACTTTACAGATGTGGGACTTAGAGCTGGGACTGAGAAAGGATGCATCACTTAGCCAGGGGCACGCAGCTGGGAAGCCACAGGGTTGGGATCAGCACCCCGGTGTGGGACCCCAGCTCCATGCTTGTAACCACCAGGCCGTGGCGCCCCCTCTCCATGGCTGGGATGACTGACACGTGACTCCTCCTGCTGGTCCAGGGAGTGGCACAAAACACCTAGGCCAGGGGCGCCCTTCTGGCCCCTTGCACTCCCAGAGGGAGATGCTAGAGGTGGATGGGAATCTCCTCCCTCCTTGCCTGGACGCAGAGATCCCAGTGAGGGGGACCCTGGTGGTCCCTGACTCCACCCTCTCTTACTAGATTTGAGGAAACTGAGGCCCAGTGGAGAAATAGTCTGAGGCAGGCAGGATCAAGGAACCAGCTGGTTGCCTGGCCCTGGAGTCGCTTCCTCCCTAGTGGGTCCTCCTTTGCACGGGACGCGCATCTCTCCCTCTGCTGCTGTGACAGGTTTCCTGTCGCTTTATGTCACAGCCCGCTCCCCCTGCCCACACTCCCTTCACTTATCCAGCCGTCCCCCACAGTAGCCTGGCGGCACCACCCAGCCCCACCTGTCAGCTAGGGCCCTGTCTGTCACCTGGGGTCACACTGCCGCTGTGTGAGAGCGTTTGCCATAGTTGCTGTTCCGTCAGCACAACGTGCAGCCATCCATGCGGCCTTGTGGCTGTTCCCACCTCGGACTCTGTGGCTGCAGTCACTGCACACTGTCCCAGCATCCAGTGAATGGAGAGGAAAGAGAGATGGTGATGGGTGCCAAGGCCTGGACCTCAAGTGCAGACGCTGAAACCTGAGTCACAGCAGACACACCCCGTGGCAGTTAGAGTTGCGGGGCCCCCGTGGCGCGCCTCTCGAGGTCCCTGTGGTCAGAGGCCTGCACAGGCGGCACAGGACGGTCATCTCCCCCCCCCCCCCCGGTCACCCCCCCCCCCCCCCCCACCCCAGGAACGCCTCCACCGCGGTGTACGCCTGTTGCAGCCCCGCCCAGGAGACCTACTTCCAGCAGTTGGCCACAGCCGCGCAGAGCTCCGGCTTCCCCAGCCCGCAGGACAGCGCCTTCAGCCTCCCAGGCAAAGCCAAGCAGAAGCTGCTGAAGCACGGCGTGAACCTGCTGTGAGCCGGGCCACGGCGTGAGGTTCACCCCCCCGGGAGGGCACTAGCAGCTCGACCACCAGCAAAGGGAGCTCTGCCTTCTGCAACAGAAGAGGTCCCTGTGTTTTCTCTTTCTTGGCCTAGTTCCCCTTTCAGGAACTGTGATGGTATGTGTTTGTGACCTCCTTTTGTAGCCTGTGGTTGGGGCGGGTGGTTGTTTAGGTCAGCAGGCCCAGAGCTACACGGTAAAGGGCTTTATTCCACTGGCCACGTCATACCGAAGAGGGGCAGGGCAAAGTCGTGGGCCTATTGCTCTGGATCTGACGCACCCAGCGTTTCTTGCTGCTCTTCCCTTCGGGGCCTTAACTGGTACCACAAGCATTCAGATGGGTGTTTGCTTCCATCCACAGGGGGATGTAAGTTGTCCGCAGGTGGACCAGGGCTCCCACACCTCCAGTGGGGGTTCCTCAGAGCGGTCCTCCCGGGCGGTCCGGACACTCGATGCAGGGAGGCAGGCAGCGTTGCCGAAACCACCTCGTTTGCATTCTTCTGGAACTATATTCAGAACCAGGAGCCTGTTCTTTGGAACACCCATGGCAGGGGGTGGGGGGGCAGATCTTGATAACGTGGAAGGGAGCCTGGGGCTTTGAGGTAACTCTGAGCCCCGGGGTGCCAAAAGTGGGCTGTGCAGCTGGCCCCTCTTAGGTGAGTGTCCTCAATGAGGAGTTTCCCCAGTGTCCGGGGCAAAAGCAAAGCTGTGCTTCCCAGCGGCGGCTATGTGAAAGGGCGCAGCGTGCACGTGTGTTCCTGCCCATGTTAGAGGCAGGCAGGGTATGATAGTGTGCTGCGGATCACTGCACGAAATACTCACCAGAGGCTTAACTGTTTACTGGGAGTACCTGAGACCCCATTTGAAAACTGCAATGTTAATAATTTCCTAACGGTGAACCAGTGTCTCATGTTGACGACAATGTCTTTTTTTTGAAACAAGTTGCCAAGGGCTAAAAATAAAACAGCCAAAAATGCTGTTGAGTTGTGAGTAATGCTAACGTCTCTAGTGACAAAGCTAAGGTAAGGATTAAGATATTTTATGAGTGTGTGTGTGTGTGTTTGGCACCTTTCTCTTCGCTGTGCCTGAGCCGGTGTGGGCAGGTGAGGAGGGATGCACTACAGACTGGTGTGTCCGTGAGGATGACAGCCTGCAGCCACAGATCCACCTTCAGCATGGCTGGCCCAGCATACCAGGCCCAGTTCCCTTTCCTCCCTGGGGTTCCTCCCACCACTGGCTGGCCTAAGACGGTCATCTTCCCAGATGGAGGAGGGTCATACCCTAAGCTAAGTTACTTGCATACTGTCTTAATGCTCTAAGTTCTCCAAGAAAAAATTCAGTACCAGCCTCTGTGCCACCCGGTCAAGGAACCATCCCACAACTGACGCGTAACACGGCCCTTTTCTGTTGTGGGGTTATTTTTAAGCAGCCAAACTTTTCCTTTTGCTCACCAGGGCTCCAGAATCCTGAAGTCCCCAGATTTGAGCTCTGACATTACAACCTGCCATGTGTTGAAACGGGGACAGAATTTGGAGCCCAGAACCCATTTTCATCTGCCCGCTCCCAGCTTAGCTAACTGCCTGAGTTCAAGGACTCTTTCAAACCAGATCTGTTTCACGAGAAAATTGCTTGGCTGTGAGTGGGCCCTTTCCTAGATGTCATGCCATCTACAGACATCTTACTGGGTCTGTTTTCAGAAACCTCTCTCCCCATCTACTTTCTCGGAACTGCCATTGAGCCTAAAAACACTCTTAACACAAAATGCCTTTGTTTCTGAGAATCCATGCTCTAGGCAGCCACATGCTTCCTCTTCAGACCTTACCCCCAAATTAAGTCTTAATCACTGGAGAGCATGAGATCAACAGAGCGGAATGCGAAGACCCACACGCAATGGTCATTTCAAAATACATCCACAAATTCTTCACTACAAATTAGGGACCTACCTCCTCCCTTGAGTGGGGGCTATACTTAGTGATTTGTTTCTAACAAATAGAACGTGGTAAAAACAACAGTATGACTTCTGAGAGCAGGTTACACCACACGTGGCGGCTTCCGTCTCTCTCAGTTCGCCTCCTCTGGGGGAAGCTGACATTCAGGCAGCCCATGGAGAGGCCCTTGTGGTGAGGGTCTCCTGCCCACAGCCATGTGAGGGAGCCTTCTTGCTCCAGCCCCGGTCGAGCCTTCAGATGAGTGCAGCCTTATGAGAAACTGAACCAGGACTGTCAAGCTAAGGTGCTTCCGAATTCCTAGTCTTCCAAAAGTGTGTGACATAATAAATGCGTGTGGTTCTGAGCCACTGTCTGGGGGTCATTTGTTACACAGTGAGAACTCATTAAGACATTTTTATGCCAATATCCCATCCACCAAACTAGGTTCCTTACAGCTTTGGCACAGGGGGCCCTTTAGCCAAATGCTGGATGAAGCTACAGGCTCAGAATCTAGCTACCCCCTTGCCCACTGGGGAAAGCCAGCCTGGACAACAAGATATTGTGAGTGCTCCCTCAGCTTTCTTCCTGTGGCTTCCAGAGCCTGATGTTAATGGCCAGCTGGGCCCCCCTTCCTCTCCTCTGGGCCCTGCCCTGGCCCCTCTTCTTACCCCAGCCTCCCAGATGCTTCCATGCAGGCTGCTCTCCTCTGAAAGTGGACGGCCACCCAAATGGCCTCAAGCCCACAGCCTTCCCGGCCCCATCCCGGCCTGCTTCTCTGGGAGGCCTGTGGAGGAGGTGCATGCGCCCCTGTGAAGCTTTCCCCTGCAGTTTGAGGAAACTCCTCGGATGGAGGAGGGGTATGCGCAGCAGCATGGGGAAAGCTGGGAAGGTCCTTCTGGATGATCATTCCTCAGTCCTAGGATGCATGTGCAAGAGCTGGGGGTCAGCCTGGAGAGTGTGGCCTCCCCTAGTGTGCATTTCCACTGCTCCCGAAGCCTTGAACAGCCTACCATCACCCCAGCCCAGCGCTCTGGGCTCTCAGCTGTGACTGCTTTGACACATTGCCCTCTGGCTCCAACTTGCCCTCTGGTGCCCTCAGCACCAGACCAGAGAATACAGCTTCATAAAGTCATTTGTGCTGTGAACCTTCTTCTGCTCTCCACCAGGATGGGACTTTACAAGTCCTATTCCTTGTGCATGGAAAAGGACACCCCCCCCTCCCGAGTTTCATCCACCTGGATTAATTAATTAATTCAGAAAAGCTGGAGTCCGCAAACATGCACAGGCACACCCCCTTCCCTTTACTTTCTGCATTGGAGCTCAGCTCTGCGACCTCAGCGGCCGCCTTGACTGTGACTGGGGCCCAGAGGCCGCTGGAAGTGCAACGTTCAACCCCCCGTCTTCCTGTTCAGTACTGCAGAGGTTCTGGTGGCTGTGAGGACATCATTTCCTGACAGTCCCAGGCCCATACTCTCAAAATTAGCATCTAGATTTGAGGCTCCCCAGAGCGGGGGCCCTCCTGCTGGAGTGGGCCCCGTGCCCCCAGGGTGGTACTCCCCCAGGGTAGTACTCCCCCAGGGAGGTGGCATTTGCAGGACAGAACCTGCCCTGCCTTGGTTTTACAGGTGACACCAGAGTGCTCCCGTCCCCCGGGGCCAACAGCCTCATGCGAGCAGGGAACACAGGGTGGGGAGGAAGAGAAGCGGTCTGTTTTGGGTCAGTCCATGCTAACTGCCCAGCATTGTTGACTACTTGTGAACCTTCAGGATCAAGTTCCTGTGGTGTGATTAATAGTGGTGTTCAGATTCCTGCTGGGAAAGGGCCTCTGGTCCCTAGGGAGGCCGTTGAGCCTAATCAAACTGCCTCCCCACTGGAGGGAAGCATCCGGGCTCACTGGCTGTCACCTTGACACAGTAGCACGTGGAGCCTGGCGGCCGTCACCTGCTCCAGTATCTCTCTTGAGTGTTAACCCCACGGTGGTCCTTTCCGAAGCAGCTGACGTGCCCTTCACACCCCCACCAATACTACTTTCTTAACCCCCTCCCCCCCGCAGAGCTTTGCACTGTGTGAGTGGCGGCCCCCAAAGGTACCGCTCCTCATCCTGGGCACCTGTGTTACCTCAGAAGCTAAAGGTCCTGCTGGTGTGATTAAGAATCTGGAGATGCAGAGAATATTCTAGATCACCCCAGTGCCATCACAAGACTGCTTATCAGAGAGGCAGAGGAAGATGATTCACATTGAGACGAGGTGACGTGGAGGCAGAGATTAGTGACAGGGCCACAAGTCAGGGCCACCAGATGCCTAAGGAGGTGAGGGATGGATTCTACCCTGGAGCCTCGGGAGGGAGTGCCGCTCTGGTGATGCACGGGTTGGGGTCCAGTGAAGCTGATTTTCGACTTGGGCGTCCAGAGTGTGAGAGAATGCAGTTCTGTTGTTTCGAGCCACCACACCAAGTCTGTGGCAGCTTATTAGAGTAGCCATGGGAGACTAACACGCCCGCCTCGCAAGCAATGTGTGTGTCCTGGCGGGGCCCTAAGAGCACAGGTGGGGCCCTACCACCGCCACCAAGAAGCCCTGCATGCTTGCAGGGGTGCTGGCAATTCATCCTGGGGCAAAGGGGAGCTTTGAAGCAGGGGAGTGACTGGATCGGACTCTCATGAGAAAGGTCACTGGCTCCCGAATGGATGAGAAGCAGGGCAACGGGAGGGGGACGTCCCTGTCCCCCCATCCCTGGGCCCTTGTGAGGAGACTGGGGAGGGCAGGGTGTACTATCGACACTTTGCAGCGGGGCTGAGGAGGAAGAAGATTGTCTGGATCTTTTCTCAATGCGTCTGTTGAATCTGGGAAGCTTAAGGTAAACGTTCTCAGGGCTTCGAGACTGGAAAAGCACATTTCCTCTCTGTTTACTTTCGACGTCCGCACCTGAAATGAGCTGTCTTTCTCCTGGGAATAAAATCCCAGGCCCCCTGGGCAGGGGGAGGGGGAGACAAGCAGCCCCCACCTCCCATGCGGGGGTGAAAAGGCACTGTGTATGTCTTCCCTCCGACCAGCCCACCGGGGCTCCTGTGGTAGTGGAGGCACATGGGCCCCGGGCTCGGCTCACACCTCTCTGACTCACTGCCGTGGAAACGGGGCCTGGGGACTTGACTTCTTGGAACCTGTGTCTTCTTTGACATGGAGAGGAAAAGGCAATTATGTAAAGGCCTGGCATATTGTGGGGGCCCCCAGAACGTGGGGTTCGGCGAGTGTCCCAAGAGGACAAATGGCCTCTCCTGGAGGTCCCTGTGCCAGCCATGGAGGTGAGGCCTGAACGTGTGACCAGAGTTCAAGAGGCTGCCAGACCGCGTGCTTGGTGCCTGGCCTCTTACTCCAGCCCAGCCTCCAGCCGGCCACCAGGGCCTTGTCCACGGCACCTGCCGCCCTGAGCCGACGTCCTCTGTATTATGTGCACACCACTATCTCTGCTTACCCCAGTGTGGGCCCCAAGGGCTCCTGGGATACTAATATAGGCAGAGGAATTTTCTAGAGTGCACGGAGCTCTCTGTACCCAAGGAAGAAAGCACTCTCGCCTTGGGTCCGGGGTGGCTGGTGCGTCGGATGTGGGGAAATGTGTGGAAGGGTAGTGATCAGAAGGTAGCAACGACGTGTGTGCCCGGGAAGGAGGCAGAAAGTAAATCCATCTCTGTGTGTGTTGCCTCCTGCCACCTAATGTTACAATCTGCTTGAGCATTTCCACTGCCATCTGTCAGCAGCCCGAAAATGTATGGCCTTATTCTGTCCTGTTGCCTGTGTTTACATCTGGTTAACAAGACTTAGCGCGGAGGTAAATCTCAGGGGGAGGTTGCTGGCAGCAGGGCCCGATGGTCCTCACAAACCGCATTTTATACTGAGCCTTTGCTTTGATTATTTACATTGAAAAAATGTGTACGGAGCACTTCCTATCCACCCAGAATGCGACATACTCTTATCTTATTCGAACCTCACTTTACACCTGTGAAGGTAGGCATTACGCCCATTTTATAGATGAACCTCACAGAGTGGGTCAGGACTTTTTGGTGCGAG